ACCTTTATCAATTTTGTTTGTATTTACTTTCAAATGTCCCACCCACTACAACAAGGTTGGTGGGCTTTTGTTACAATTGTGTGGTTTCGTTGTCCATTGGGTATATTCGTTGAAACATTCAAGAAATAATAAAAGCGTGGCGGTCTTTTTTACACCGCCCGAAAGTTTGTTGAGTTCTGCAGATGCCCTGTAAGTTTGGCTTTCCATGGAGCATAAAATGTCATTATATCTGGTGTCATTGTTTAATATTATTTTGAAAACAATTAAGTAAACGTTATGCGGTTGCATTTTTTGTAAATGGAAGTGAGAAATCGAACCTATAAATGTGTCTAGGAATGTTCCCTTTTGAATACAAATTGTGTTTTTGACATGATAAACTTTTTATTCAAGAATTCTACTGTGCTATTAATTTAAATTATCTACTGTGGTGTAACTTTCTTAGATGTGAGCATTTAATATGTAATTATACTCTTTTTGATTGGTTAATAGCTTTAGTACTCCTAACATACATCTTAAGGACAACAATTCTTTAATATTGAAGTACCTGTACTTTGAACATCTTCATCTGATTTGATGTAACTCAGTTGCTACCCTTCATGGTTTCACAATTTAACAAGCGACGTTCGTATCTAGGGTATTGCTTTTCAATGTTATTCCTTATCTGTGTAAATTTTTAGAAATCATTAATTGGAAAAGCTGGCTTTGTTTAATTACTGGACAAGGTATTCGCTTAGTTACCCGTATAGTTGCAGCGTGGTTAATATACGCACTATTTCGTAGGTTATATAAAAGTCTTTAATTTAGGTTATCCTTTTGGGTACTTTGAAACGTTTTTAATGCAAAACTTTTGACCTATTTTGTGCACGCTGGAAATAGTCGTGCCCATACTGATAAAGCATATCTTCATTTTGTTGCTTTGCGTCTGTGAATTTGAGTGCCTAAAACACTATAATGTTATATGTATTCCATGCTTGCGTCAATGTTTTTATTCTTGGTTTTGCTTAAAACGGTTTTTTGTCTTCCTCGCGTCATTGTATATTTCATGTTTAATTGCTCTAGTAAACCTTATCAATAAACTTGTTGAGTACATAGGACAAATTCCATCCTCTTTCTAGTAGTAGACTGTAAATCTTCATCAAATTTTACTTGACATCTTATATTGCCATTTACTAAAACTTCTATGTTTTTCCCTAAATTCGGTTCATTTGCGCTCGAAATTCCCCTTTTGATGTAATTGATACCTAGCCACTTCTATTTATCCTCTTTGAACCAATCAGGTCCCAATAATTGGGCATGTGTTCATGTGCACACAACATTAAGGGTGTTTGGACGTTTCTTTGGCTTCGCTCAGCAGCTTGATACTTTCTTTGTGATTACGTGTGTGCGTCTGGGTCTGCTTATGTTTTAAACGCTCCTTATCATCTGAGTCATGCAATTCTTCTGTGCAAGCATGAGCCGTAACCAGACTTTCATACATACCAGCTGTACTAATTGTAAGTGTATACCATCTCTAAGTGCTCAGGATGTGTTTTGAGCCCCTTCATCTTACCAGTAATTCTGGTTCTAGGTTAACGCCGCTCGCATACTGTGAATTCTCGTATACCGTAGTTTAGCCACGCATCAAACGCATCCGTAGACCTCTGTTTTTTGTGGGAGCAATCAATCTAAGAGTAGTCAATAATTCCTTGATTGCAAGTTTATCCCGCTTATTTAATTAGGCTCTTTGTCAATTGTACTAAAATTTACCGATTAGTCACTTGACTTAATGTGAACTTTTCTAAGTGATGTATTTGACTTCTCAAAAGTCCAGTCATAATTTGTTTACGCCGACTCTTTACCATCATTACTATTAAGGTGTGCCGCCGTTTTTCCTACGTAATTCGTCGCATTTCTGTGAACCACGAAAATTTAGGCTCTGGCTAAATGTTGGTTTGATTCCTTGTCTGCTTTTACCTTGGTACGACTCAAGTAATTGCTTTGATGCACAAATTGTTTGCCTCGTATTCCTCTAAGTATTTTTTTCGTTTTGTATTCAATGCAGTTTAAAATCGCATAGGTTAAATCTTTTTGTTTACCCTAAACGCGTTTTTACCCATTATCTTTATTAATCGTCTCGGCTTCCCTCTTCCTGTACATATCGTTTGTATATTCTTGAACATCTACCAATTCTTTATTACATTTTTTTGCTTGCAATAGGCCTTAAGTGTGAGATTTCAAAAAAATTGTATTAAATTCGATGCCCTTTTAGTTAAACTCGCTTTTAGCTTGTATAATATGTTCCTAAGTGTCTAGCTTCGTTCAATGTCAGAAGTGCCCTATTAACTGTGAACTTTACTAGCATGTCCGTTTAGCCATAATATCACCCTATCTTATTTGCTAAATTAAGGTCTTTTTGTTTTGTCCTAATATTCCACTTCCAACTTCCATTATACATATTATTGGGGCGCTTGTTATGTAACATTGAGGTTTCCTGCTGTTAATTAATAAATATTTCCCCGTAGGGAAACAAGTTCGTCTTAATATCCTTTGCTACCTTGTGTTTTTTTCAGCCAGGATCTGCAACTTCACCTTTACTACCATTGAGCTGTAGTCGGCTTACAGATAGAGTTCTTTCAGCACAAATTTAGTGGGTATTGTATTGGACGGGTTTTGTCGAATGGAAAGTATCATTTGTACTCCGATCCCCTTTCAGCCCAAAATTTAGTTCATTTGCATTCGATTACACAAATTTCACTTACAATCTAGTTGAATAACAAGTGGCGAAGGTACTGCATTTTAACTTGGCAAGTAGATTCCTTGATTTTTTCTGTTAGATGTCGTTTACTGGCGTTAATAGCATGACAATCGCTACCAACTTAACTACAAATTGTAGCTATTTTGCTTGCACATCCTTTAAGCCTTCCGCAAATTATTATTCATGCGTTGTTTTTAGATCTTCTAAGATCTCAAATTGTTCGTGTTTCTTGTGTAGAAGTGTGACCAGCTAAAATTAAATTTTAAATACTCTAGGCAAATTAGTGCAAGGCCAACGAGATATTCACTGCTGGTTCTCAGTCGAATCGCCTCTTAGTTGGGCCTCCGTATGTATCACGCGTTATTAAAGTACTGAGGAAACCATTTGGCAAGGCACGTTTTGTATTGCCTAGTCGTTCGCGGTTTCTCGATGTAATCTAGCCGTTTACCTTTACTCTCAGTAATCACACTGACTTGGGTTTTCTCATTACCCCAATTAATGCACATATGCATTCACATCGCCTACTATGCACGTCCGCTATTTGAATTTGCATAAGTTGCTACCTTCAAGTGACTGCTTCCGCGTGTGAACTCGTAACATCACCGGGGCTCTCACTACTAGCAGTATACTTCGCGCTTAGCTTGGGGCAAATTGGACCTTGCTAACTTGCCCTCCAATACTGCCCTGAAACTTCGTACAACGCTAAGTTCGACTTTTCTAAACTATTCAATGTCCAGGTGGTTTCGTGACTTCAGACCTTACTGTTAGTGACTTAGCCCACCTCCTACACTTTCCCGACCTGGTTTTAGTGCGTTTCATGCTAAAGGATAGATTTCTGTGTTCCTGCTCTCTTGTATCCCGGCAAGGTAAACTTAGAGAATTCGATGCGACCCAACTGGCCGACGCCACTTACACCTACGACTTCATTTGGTTGATGCGGGCTTCACTTTGTTAATTTAATCCTCTGTGATTTCAAGCTATTTTGTCCTAGACGTTAGGCCTATCGAAGCGTTGACATGAAGCTAGTTTTATTCCCAATATATTCACAATGTCTCTATGATTTTAAGCTCTGAGGTCTTTCCTGATCTCACAACACTTATTGCCAAACGGTCTTTTTTGCTTGGAGTACGTTCTGCACTGGAATGAAAAAAATCACTCTATTCGTGGTAAATAAACCTTAAACTAAAGAAACTCACATTTAATTAAGCTCTGACATAGATAGTGTCAATATGCTCACCGAACGGTGTGAAGCTACATTATGAGACCCAATCCCTTTTAGCGTTTACTATGATGACAGTTTAGTATTTATCACTAGCGCTCTCCTATCGTTATTAGGTCGAGTGCCCCATTGGCTGGCAAACTTGGCGTTATCACTCACCGGAAGATGCCAGTTGCTCATCCAGGTGCAAGATTCCACGCTCTTTTAGTTTCCCATTTCAATTCTATCCAAATACAACCTCTCTTCGATAGATGATAGTAGAAAGTGAGCCCTGTGGTCACAAGCAAGCATGCGCCGAGTCCCGATTTTCCATTATATTAGCGCTGTCTTTGTGACAGGGAACGATAACCATTTCTATGTCAATGTCGTAGAAGTAGCTTTTGGAAATCCACGTGTCATTTCATAGCGCTCCCCATGTCAAATGAGTCCAGTCACGGGTGGATTCCCCTTTATACGGCAAGCCGTTCAAGTGGTATTCGCTAAAATCGAATTCTTAACACAACGCCTTATATTGTAACGAATTCAGAAAAAAAGTGGGCTCGAAATGGCACAATGCAGGTGGCGGTTTGTTTAGTTGCCGCCGTGGGTCTCGTATTCAACCCTGCTAAAAATCAGCCACGGCTTCAGTTCAGTCGAAACTTCTAAGGGGTTAATTTGCTCTGCACTGCGTAGGTGACATCATCCTGTACAAGGTACATTTAAGTCCGGGTGGACTTTCTAAAAAGTTACTTTTGCGTAAAAAATCACTGTTTCTCACAAGATGACCTCGAATTTACATAGCCATCCTTTAGTTTTTGGGGATGAAAACAGGTCTATTTGGTTTTTATGCTTGTTCAACGGTCATTGTCTTGTGTTCGGTTAGTGAAGCTGAAAAGTGATTGAAACCACGTGCTTAAATGTGTAGCTAAATGTTGCATGTACACGCCTTAAGGCACGCATGCTGCCAGTTTGACTAGCATAGTGTGGTGTTTCAGTTTCTGTAAAAACCCATCCATTTCTGCATAATTTTACGTGTTTGAGGAAATCCAATATTGGAGCTGTTATTTAATGGTTGAACTGTTGCGTACCTCTTCATCATGCATCCGTAACTTTTTGCAAGGTACTTTGAAAGTAAAGCCGAGGTGCGTTTTTAACAGCCTTTATGTTGCTTATACAAGGAAACCATCTGTAAAAGTACTATCTGACCTGACGAGCAGATTGTCAGATTACTTCATTTTATCAAGGTCGGTAGCAGCTAACCGAACTTACGGTAATCAAACTGGAGCCTCTTCCTTTTCTCAAGATCTTCAGCCAAGTCCATAGTCACGTGGTTGATGATTGCCAAGTTTATCATCAAGAAGAGCATGGTCAGAAATACTTAAGTATACCCGTCCGCTCATTCTATATGCACTCAAGAAAGGCACTTGTCCATCCACGCATCTTTCCAACTTTAGTAGGTGCTATTGAAGTCATATTCCAATGTCTTCCCCAAATTCTTTTTTACATCGTACTTTATAACGCTTTATATCGAATTTTGTTACCTCACCTAGATCGTAAGCAAAAGGGATTCAAGTTTAGGAAACTCTTTAGAAAGTCGCCTCTGTCACCCCCACCGCCTCCGCCACCACCGCAGACTCAGTTCTCCGCCTGTGTCACTGTTCCCGAGTCACTCACAGCTCAGACCGACGATGCTCTCACCGTCTCTCATCGGCGAGCAGTCAGCGATCTAGTCGTAATCAGTCCCAGTTCCCCTCCGACCTCGCCTTTTATGCAGCCGACCTCCAAACCGCCTCAAACCCCTGACAGCGGTATCAATCAGCCCTCTGCCGTCTCTCTACTTTGTTCCTCTTCGTCAACTTTCGCAAGCTCCAAGATGTACTCCGGGAGCGTGGACTCAGCGGGCACTACTTCCCTAACGTCAAATCGTTTCTCATGGCCGAAGTCCAGCTCCCCGTCCGACTCCAGTTCTCTCTCAACTGCACTCTCCAACAATCTACGGCTTACTGCTGAAGCTAGCACTGCCGCTTCAGGCAACAGTCTTTTCACATCGCCTCCGAGAAGCTCAGATAGTTGTAAAATGGCGAACGGTTGTGAAGTCTCTGGTGTGGGTACGCCTCAACATTTGCCGAGGTTTGTGGCGGGTGCCACAATAGCGGAGGAAGATGAAGAGGCAGAGGAAACTGGAATGAGTTTATACTTGGGAGGAGCTGTTGTAACTCCTCCGGATTCTACCACAGCTCCCGTCGGAGCTGTGGACTCCGGATTTGCGGCTACTGTGGCCCAGGTGTCAAGGCGGACTGGCACCTCGGCCCAGGAGCTATACGCCCGCATGAAGGAGGTTCGTCGACGACCTGAGGATGTAAGAAATAGGTTGAGGGGGCAAGCAAATGCTGTGGTAAGCTCAAGCAGCGGTGGTGGTGCAGGAACTTCAAAGCGACTCTCGTTACCTGCTAGTCTCCACTTGCCGCCACACCTCCGACACAAAGCCATTCAACTGCTCGAGGAGCCCATGACCAGGAGGGAACGAAGACTATCTCTGGTACGTTTTTTCGTCTTCTGCACTCCTCTCCGTATCCTCTTAAATCCAAAGTGAGAAATTGTCTTGACATAAATATTGGTCACCAGGACTTTTGTTAATTTTGAACACTCATTACCCCACTGATGCCACTATACTCTCCTAACCTCCACTGTGATTGATGGGTAAACTATTGGTAAATATTCCAGCGATCCCCAGCGTCTCTATGATTATTAGTCCTTTAATGTATTCTTTATCGTAATAATGTCTGCTAGATTATTTACCACCTAAAATCGTCAACATTTTCTGTCCCACTAAGTCAATCAATGTTTTCTGTTCACTTACTTTTTTACTAATACTACTATAACATTTTAGTCAGAACAACAACTAAATCGATGAAATTAAAACCATCTAACATTACCCTGTAGGGGCGTAGTTTAGTAATTTTCTGACCGCTCGTTTTCGTCCATGGCTTTATTACATTTGAGTCCTTAAAGTACAGTTTGGTTGTCGCGTTCTACTTATAGAAATGGCACCTATTAAGCCGGACATTCGGTCCAACCTCCATCCTTATTGTTGTACGAACACTGCCCCCATGTCTCGACTCATAATTCATGTCCTTGTCTCCCTTGTTCACTGCGTAGGCTGAACGATAAGCACTTGCCCCTCACCGTCTAATCAAAACTTCCCTTTCATGTTATGCTAACCAACTGTTCTGAACTGCCCACAAGGCGATATTCACGAGGTAACAAAGCTGGCAAAAAAATCACCTCACAATTAAATATCCACTTGAGGTTGTCTAGCAAGTGGGTCAAAGTGTCTGCCGTATGAGGCCGGCTTGCGCAATGTTCTTGCAAACGTTTTATTCACCTTGAGAGGTCATGCACTTGCTAGTTGCATGTCGATTTACACAGGCTCCGCGTTCTTCCCGGCTGTGTTTCGCCCACTTGCTTTGACGTAGTGCCCCCTGAGGTTTTTTTATTGTTGTAAATTTGTTGTTCTATTCAAAATCTCGATATTTCTGGTCTTGAGACATGATTGTGGTGTAGTATAATTGTCGAATGGCGACTACATTTTTTCGCACTGGTCATATTTAATGTCCGTCGATTAACACCTATGCCTCCAAAGTTATTACAATGCCACCCCACTTAGTTCTGGCTTTCATTGAAGTCGGTCAAACACTGCTTAATTTTGTTTTCGTAAGTGTAGCTTTTCCTGTTGATAGTTTTTAAGTCCACCGTGCACTGTCTTTGAAAGACCCAGCATGCGTTCTCAGATTCACATATTGATAAACTGTTTCCGCAGCGTGATGCGCAGTTCTGTGAGGCACCACGTCGTTGGTTGTCCATGAATGCTGGAAGGAAATATTTGGTGTTCGTGTAGACCACTTACGCAGAATTTTCTCAATACCGCTATGACACCAGCCCACGCTTCTGTCAGTGACGTGACTCATCCGATTCTGCTTCCCAGAGCTGGGCGTCGCCGCGCACACGGTGCTTAAAAGCCCTTAGTTCTAAAAGGAACTACAATTACCAAAGCTAATCAATCGCAACCCGCTGGCTCGCCTGTCAGGTGATTGGTTATTTCTGTCATTCGATGTTGCTTTTCATGCCTCAACACGACACCAAAACCACAATTGATTTTTAAAATGAATGGTTGCGTGGTGAAATTATCTACTTTTATCCCTCTTTTGTTAACTCCTAATGGAAACAAACGGGAAAACTATACAACACTAAGAATACTTGCAGTCTAGGATCGACTGTCGTTGCTGGAGGATGCTACTACATATGCTCAGATCAAATACTTGCGAATGAGAAATGGAATGCTCGGGGTGCGGGAGAGACTGAATGGGCTTATGCACGTCGTTGTGGTGTTGTACTTTGGTTGGCCGGACCCCCAATTACTACTGCTACTACCATCGGTTCATCCGCTGCTTAGGCGAGGTTTTCCCCTGTGTGGCATTTGCGGCCGGGGGCTTGTGGCTCTGGCGTGAGCCCAAGTGGGTATCATCGCAATTTCTCCGACAACCAGGAGTTTCGAGGGTTGCAGCGAGGGCAGCTAACTCAGAGTTGAGTTAGGCTTGGTGCAGCAAGAGCAATGTAGGATTAAAATAATCTGGTCACCTTGCACGTTAGGTCACGTTGAGGTGCTCAACCGCTCATGGAAGTGCACCCGTTTGCACTTTAGCTGCGTCCCGTGAATGTGCATGCGTGTGTGAGAGAGAGGAAGAGGCCTCAAAATAAAACAAGTCAAGGCGGGTTAAAAGTAATGTCAATAGTTCTAGTTTTCTCATTCCGAAGTCGTGTACCTGCCTCTGTCTGATTTGACGGTTTCAAGTGACCGGTTGATTCTGATCCCTTCTCAAGTACTTCAGACTTCATTATACTGTTTGGTTTGTTTAGGTTGGTTGGTTTTTTTTCACTTCTTTATCGAGAACTCAATTTGTCGACTCACCACGAAATTCTATCTTCTTCATATTCATTCGAACGTATCTATTTTTCGTATCTGCCCCGGTTGACTGAAATTCCATTTCCTCTGATCTCTTGTCCTTTCAAAGAACGTGACTTCTATGCCAAGACCTTAGCTCTATAAATGTTGCTAAAAATGTCTACTGGTCAATTTATGCATCTATTGAATTGGGTAGTTAGAATTTTATTTTAGTCTCTTCTAAGTAATTGCGTTATTTGAAAAAGGGCCTTTTTATTATTAACGATCGGTTGTTAGGAAGTTGCTAACCAAAATGTCCTCACTGCTTTTGTGTATTAGACTTTTAAAAATACTGCTAATCAAGATAATGGCTTTGATTCTCGGATAATGCCTTTGAAGCAAGTTCACTAATTTCATGGTAGAAACAAAACCCTGTAGACAATTGGTGGAAAATGAGAGGCTGTAATTGAATTTGATTTTTATCGAGCAACCTGCAAAATCGGTGAAGGATTTATCTACTACAACGCAGTTAAAGCAAAAATTATTTTTAAATTAACCTCGTATTTTGTGAAGTTTATCATCTTCGACAACATATGCGGGGAATTCCGGTGATTGAGTGCGCTCACGTGATCGAAACCGAATATGGAATTTCTGCTAAGGGGAAAATATGTCAGGAATACACGGAACTGTGGAAGGGCTCTGTTGTACTTCTGGCTGCTGCTGAGGCTGGGCGAGGCAGCAATGGGAAACTGCGCACAACGGTTGCATCACGTGGAGCGAGATTTGGGTCGTTGGAGTGTTTAAAAATATCCACCGTATTTTTGCCATTGCGGCTCACGAGGGATTGGACACGGTTTCGCGACCACATCCCTCGTGTGACCTAACTTGTATTGTTTTTATTGACTTTTTTCGATGCAGGATTTTTTGACAAAAAAATCGAGTCAGAAATGCGGTACTGAAGTAAGGCGTTTGTTTTCTGCGTTAGAGGAAGTTAATCTTCGCCTCTAATGATTAAAAATGGCTTCAGGTCTTAGTTTTGTTTATTTAAAAATGAATATGTTGCGTTATTACCTCGATTTCGAACTTTTCCATTAAATATTTTGGTGGAATAAGCATTATCTTCTCCATTCAACTTGCCACGCACCACTTTGGAATCATTCTGAACGAATAGGGCTACTCACATCCCAACATTGGAGTGAATTGCTGTTGAATGCCTTGTGTAATTTTGCTCAAAATTTTGTAACCAATTGCCCGTTTATTCAAACATCTTAATTGAATGTCAGTTGACTCATTTCTCTCCTTATTTAACTTGCCCATCCCTGCTAAGGGTGCAAATAGGTAATTTATGTGATACGAAAGTTTACAAAAATGGCTTTTTTCGTTCAAAATAACCTTCAAAGACTGAATATTGGAGTAAATAGATCTGGAACGTCGTTCCAAGCTACCAGTGCCACCAACATCATAGGGGTGTTGTCGCAGTCCTCCCAATTAATCTAATTACTATAAACACCTAATGTGCGTGTAGTGTTTCCCACACAGGGAAAGCCTCATTTCGAGGACATGGAAGCCTAAAACGTTCTCCTGCAAGTATCAGCTTCTCCGAAGGTGTGCATCAATACACTAAAACCCCAACCCTTCCGCTTATAATCTGCTTCAAATACCTTAAAATGTCTGCTGCTGATCCCCTGTCGTATTATTCGGACCTTACTTGTCTAACAGGAGGTCTCAAGCAGCTATTGTTAGCGGTGGATTCGTTTATGGCATTTCGCCGTCTTGTCGCGTGTCCATGCCTCCCATTTGCAGACACTTTGCGCAATGCACTTATGTAGAAACCAAAAGGGTGCTAGTGGATAAAGCTAACTCATTATAATGTTCATGTTGCCAACAAATTCAACAGCCTATATATAACCACCATGTTTTTTGATTGGGACGCAATCGCGATTTTGCGCAATGCTATGTGATTAAAGGGGTCTGCGCACAACAAGGAGAATTTTAGTCACTGCTGCTGGTGTCACCACCAGAACGCCTAGCTTCCGGCCTTAGCAACATGAAATTGCCACCTTTAAAGCCAAAGCTGGCCTACTAATCAGCATCGTTGGCCACTGGTTTCGTTCTTTATTCAAGGAAAATGCCAATGGCATTTATGTAAAAAAATTCATTGCTTCGCTTGCAATAATCACACTTACTGTCATCCTCGAATGTCTCATGTGACCTCATGCGCTCAAAGTAAACCTGTGGGTGGCGGGGTGCCTTTCCTTTTTTACTTGCACAGCTTGAGTACTTGTGGAGCCATGAATTTGGTCAGCTATCAAAATTTGACGGGTTTTCACCCGTTTCAAACGCTCATGCTGCTTTAGATATAGTCGTGGATGGATATTAAAGTGTGTCATTTTTCGGTTTTAAGAAGCGTTATGTAGGCAAGCTATAACAAATAAGCAAGAGTAGACAATCCTCTTGAGATGTGTATCGTCTTTAATTGAATAATCAGGGGGTTTGGGCTAGTTGTTTTCGGTACCATTTTGTCACCATAGGTTCGTACCAAATGGTATTCACTGTTGTTAGCTCTGAACTGGGTGTACAGTACCCATGGCTCGCACTTCCTTGAACCTAACAGGAATCGCGTATTTCATCAGGCTTTGGTGATTTAGTGT